ATGAAAAGTGTCTGTGCTAAGGCCATTACCAATGTTGATACGGATGCCAAATAGAGAAAAACGGTGGTGAGACGAAATAAGATCGTGTGGTTGAGAAATAAGAGTGTTGGTGATTGGATTGTCAATGTTAGATCGGCTGCAAAGGAGGTTGGTACAGATTGCTCCTGGTTTGTGTTGTCATGTTTGGGTACGAATGTTTCCACATGAACCAATGGGAGGAGGCTCCTGCATGGTTGAGGAAGAGTAAGAATATTGTTTGTCCTACAAAGAACAATATTATTGGAAGATTGAGGAAACAAATCTCCACATCTCTCAACGACCTGGATTTGAGATACCACAGGTTCGCAGAAGGGATTTGTTGGATTGTCTGATTGAGACGGCAGACAGCCCTACAAGTTGTACTGAGGAGATCGTGAAATCTTGGCTCGGTAAGTTGAGCGGTCTGGTGCGAGTGCCCATAGACCATAATCCATGTGACACGCTAGTTTGTTGTCCAATTCCATATCAGGAAGGCATGAATAAATTATTGTGCTGTAACGATGGTCCGACGAGGGTTGAAAAGGAAGAGACTGTGTTGATATCTGAAGCTAAGCAGGTGTATGAAAAGCAAGGATTGCAAATGTTGGCAAGGTGGGATGGGAAGGGTAGTATTGGCAGGACGTACGTAGTTCCGAAGCACAGCGATGTGCAGAAGTGTTGCCCCATTTGCCCCGCTTTCTCTGAGTGCAGCATGCAGGGTTGTAGGAAGGTCTCTCGGGCTATAAATGCTATGGTGTGGGGGCTACCAAAGAGCATGCATTTCAACTTGAAATGCACCGATCTGTTGGTTAATTCCTTGGAAGTCATTAAGAGTGTTAGGAAAGTGGAGGCGTTACTTACCGCGGCCTTTGACATGAAGGAGATGTTTTGCAATCTCCCTCACGACTCGATTGTAAATGCTCTGGATTGGGTATTGGATATTTAGAAGATGAAGAAGTAAAGAGGGTTCTACTCAAGAGCCAAGGTAAGGAGGCCAAGGTTTTGAAAGGTAAGAAGCATGAGGGATCGGAATTGGTGGACCTTGCAATAATTAGGACCTTCGTCCTCCTCAATTTGAGACTTACTTTCATCCGAGTCAGTGGTGTGATTCTGCAGGAAGAGGTCGGGATTCCGATGGGGAAGCCGTCGAGTCCTTCCATCACCTATGTATTATGCATTTTCTTGGACTTCTCATTGGTATCCTCGTTGGGGAAGGATCGGCTGCTGGTGTATGGGATTCGATTGATAGATTACGTGTCGGTCTTCATTAAATATCAGGCTCACAATGCTGCTTCTTTTGAGAAGGCTGAAAGAATCCTGGCGTTGTTTGAGTCATGCTACGACAAAAAATTGTTCCTGGAATGTACAAGCAAAAATAATCAATGGAATTTCTTGGGTTGCGTAATCAGAAAATTTGGGGGGCCAGCGGGAGTGAGATGTGTCGCAGAACACAAAAAACAGAGGACAGTGATGAAGAAGCGTCTATGTTTTCAAAGTCTACAGGATGACTGTTCCTATGTCAATAAGAAACAAAAGGTGGTCGTTGTGTGTTTCTTCTTGCATCTTGCTAAGAGTTTCACGAGTATGCCGGGTGTTGAAGCTGCCTTCCTTTTCAGAACAAAAGTTGAAATGAGGTTACGAGGATTTGTGGATGAAATTTTTGATAATTCCTTTACGAAAAGTTTCCTTGAAATTTTGGCGAATCTGGGACGATCGGGTAGAAGGCTTGACCGGGTGGGATAAAATTGGCACGAACGTGATTGGAGGTTACCTGAAGGAAAATGAAAAGGTCGGGCTGGCCCGTTTAGGTAGGGGGCACTTGTCGTCACAGTAAGACTAGGGCGGAGGTCCTTTCTGAATTTGACGTTTCGCTGAAGGTTTTTCTTCAGGACTCTATCTTGTTACCTAGAATATGTTGAACAGGGGGCCTTTTGAAGTTTCGATCCCTCTACTACTGGATCTAGGTTATTCTTCTCATAGTCCGATTGTTGTAATTCATCTCGGGCCAACCTCTTAAGGAACTTTCTATACCACTTTTGGCTTTAGGGAAACGTCGCCCTGGTTGTTTGAGGGCATACTCACTCGGGAACCAAAAGTCTCAAAAATTTGAGGCATTTGGTTCGTTTTTTTTTAGGCATTTGGTCCCCGTGTGGTCACACAGGCGGACCTCGTCCAGAAAGGACGAAGTCGCCACCCTGACACTTTGCACTCAGGGCAAGTGCGCCCGGTCACACGGGGGAGGACCAAACAAAAAGATGGATTTTTATTTTTTTTTATTTTTTTTTTCACGCCAGAGTAACGTGTGGGCCTTCGCTACAATGTAAATGTTTCTGGTCGCACTTTCAGTTGTTTGGTGGGCTGTTTTCTTCGTCTACAATTCTCTTCAGTTCCCGAACATAAAAAAAAACAAAGGTAATTTGAGACCACCTCTGGAGGTTGTCTCAGGTAGTCTAAAAAAGGGTCCTCCTGCAGCCCCGCATGCCGCTGATAAAAGGGTCACCGTTTGAGGCATTTGGGTAGCGCGCCTCTCCAGTGTGACCAGAAAACTGACTCAATGTTTTTGGATTCAGGGTTTTTTGGTCCTCGTGTGAGTATGTCATGCGTGTCTTAGGGGCTCGTTCGACACTCCTCGGGCACGTAAATCCCGCGAGGAAATCATCGTTCCACTTATCCTTGAGGAAGAAATTGAAGAAAAAAAAGTGAAAACATTTCCTTGGGGATTCCTCGGGCTACAACCATTTTGAAGCGTTCCTCAAGGGACCTCCCGAGGTCCCTTGGAAGTCAAGCATCCGGAAGAATCGGGGCGTCGACGACAGCTCTGCCGACGACAATTTTCGACGCGGCTGGTCCATTGCTGTTCCTGGCGGCCCGTGGACGGACATGTTCGGTTGGCAACGATCGACGTCATGGAATTGTCCACCAACGGTCCCCTTTGGCGGCCTGCCGGCCTCCGCGACGTCGAAAAGGGGCTGCCTTGCGTCGCTGCCCTTAGCCCCGAGCGGGAAGGCGCCCAACGGCCTCCACGAAAGAATACGTTACCCTACTTTTATCAATAGTTGCGATCGGCCGTTTGCACCACTATCCCTCGCCGTTTCCTGGACGTTCACCGTTGTCTTCTAAATGCTGCAGTCGTTCACGTTTCTTTCATGGCCGACGTCTTTCGGAGGTTGCCGCTGCTGGTGCTGGTCGTCCTCTTGCTCCTTCTTAGTTGTCGTCCACATGTGCATCCTTGGCAGCGTTCCGCGACATGCACGCAGACGACGGTGTTTGAAGAAGGACGTCAGATGGAGGGGCGCCAGGCGATCTGCAGTTTTGCAGGGGAGCAGGATGGTGGGCAGCGGGCTGGGCAAAGCCCATCGAGGAGTTCAAGGCAGTCGAAGCGGTCTGGGTACTCGCACCTGCCACCACACTTGCAACCTCTGTCGGACATGTCCGACGAGGAGGCGAATGACAGACGGTCACGGACCGTGCCGCTGGGAAGTGGGTCCACCCAGGAGTGGGCGACTACAGAGCTGTGTGGAAGCCACAACGGCGGTTATGGCCAGTCCTACACCAAACCAGCAGGGCCTCAGCGGCAACAAAGGCGATGGCGGCATGAATCTGTCGTTCGGGCTGTGTAGCGGGAGTTCGTCGGCCGCCTCGCGAACGGTCATCGTCACCCTCCATTCCGACGACGACGGCCGGCAAGTGACAGTTGTTGCGCGATCATCCAAGTCTCCAGCGCCGATCTTGGAGTCGTCAGAGAACAATAGGGATCCTCTGAGGCAGCAATTCCAGTCATCGTCTATGTCGAGGGGTGCCTCCGCTCGTCCCCAGTGGATGCAGTCTCCGTCTCCGCTATCCGCAGATTCGAGTGCAGCCCGCCGTCGTGGCGAATGCAGGGAGACAGATTGTGGCATCGTCGATCTTGGTGATGCACGAGACGGGAGACAGGTGTGGGCAGAACACCGATGGGGCTACAGTCCGGGCAGGAGGAATCCATAACTCGGGGGGTGCAGCAACTGCGTGTGGGGGAGCAGGAAAACGACGGTGACGCATCAATGGTGAACGCGGAGGATCGGGAGTGGAACGACAACGACGGCGAAGGTTGGGAGGAGGACGCAAGCTACGTTTCGTCGTTCAAGCAAAGCAGCATGGGAGGGAGGGGCGGAAAGACGAAGGCGTATGCCCCCAATGGTCGTCGGAGGAAAAAAACGGCGGGGAAGGGGAGCAATGCCGAACGTGACGTTGATCCGGAAGGAGGTCGTCAATTCTTCAAAAATGTTTTTTGGAACATGGCAAATCGATGTCCGCATTTGTTAAAGCGAACATCTAATTGTGTTGATTGATATTGATGTCTACAGCTTGTTGTTGCTTGCTTTTTATTCCTCTTTCATTTGCATTCACAAATGTTATGGTAAGGGGGATGGAAAGGGGTCAGGGATGCTTGCTTGAACCGATGGATGATGACAAAGTGAGGGATGTTCATACATGGCATTGCAAATGTGAGAAGGAAATAAGGCAATAGAAATGACACACACAACGTCGTGCAATTGTTTTTTTTTCATTCGTCGTCAAATAAGAAGACAGGCCATGCAACAAAAAAAAATCCTTCATGGCAACTTCAATCCCAACATCCGGAAAACAGAACACACACCCCCGAAATCAATTCCGACACCCAGACATGTCACCCACGATGACAGCATACTACATGACAACTATGATCGGCACGTGCACGCGAGTGACATCATCCCCGCCGATGACACGTTGGACTGCGCCGTCGCCAACAACCCGAGCCGCCGACACCGTCCTCACGGGCGCGCAGTACAAAAGAACACCAAACAAAACTGCCGACACACGCCGCTTCATGCATGCCAACCCACAACGTAAACAGCCACCTCTCCATGAACTCCGCAGGTCCATAAAACGGGGCGACACACACAACAACGGCAATGCAGACGACCACCCCATCAAGGACAAGACGCCTCCCGCGTCGTCCGCTCCTAATCTCGCCTGCTCCCCGAGTTATGTGCTCCGATTTCTCGCCGCAGCTACGTCATCGCAGCCGCTCGCTCCGCACGCCTGGCCGTGTTCACTGCGCGCCCATTCGCTCCGCCAATGCGTCCCGCAGAATGAGCGCATCCCCCGTCGACGACTTCATACACAACGGCCTCAAGGACCGCTGCATCCCAAGGTCCACCTTGTGACACACATCGTTCGGCCCGACCTCCCACAGAAGATTGTCGTCGAAGGGGATCCCTTCGTCGATGAGTATGTTGTGCAGAATGCAGACGGCGACGAACTGCTGCGGCAACATCTCCATGTTCGTCTTGTGGGAGTGAAGGAACAACCTCCACATCCCCTTCAGTCTGTAGAAAGCCCTCTCAACTTCTCCCCTCGCCGTCTTCTGCTTGTTGTCGAAGCGCAGCTCCGACGGGTGCTGTGAGAGACCGCCATAGGGGACGACTACCCATCCGGAGGGGGATAACCGTTGTCTCCCAGCAGATACCCGTTCGTCTGCACACCGAAAGGCAGCATGACAGGTGGCCCACTGAAAAGCTCCCCTGCCTCCGCGCGCGTCCATAAACTCAACAGGCGGATGATCCTCACGTCGTGGCAACTTCCAGGATATCCAACGAACAGATCTAGCACGCGCAAGTTCACATCGACGACGACCTACGCCTGGATGGAGAAACGGCGTTTCTATCGTAGTAGTCCTCCCCGGGGCAATTCGCTGGCTTGTTGATGAAGATGTGGGTGCAGTCGATGCACCCATGGCAGTTGGGGAAACCCTTGTCAACAAAGCACGGAAGACGACCGCCTTCTGCAGCCCCATCGGCCACGATAACTTTCCCGACGCACTCAGCAACGCCGCAGTTACATCCCGCACAGCGCACAACCCAAAAGATATGACAATGCTTAAGCTGGATGTCCCGCTCTCGTACGTCTTCCCCGACACCCACCTGCACAAAGCGTACTCGACAATGTGGTCAGGCTGGAGAGGCTCCCTATAGAAAGTGACACACCGTTGAAGGAAGGGAGACAGAGCTTCCGCGATCTCTCGGAATACACGTGGCGACATGCGCAGCTTGTCCTTGAAGTAGTCGGCCGTCGCGTCGTCGCCTTGGCGCAGATCCTCCCACGTCCCCCTTGTCCGTCGCTTCATCCACCACCTGGGTGTCGCTCTGGGAAATGCTCCACACCCCATGGCGTAGCACACCTGCAGCACGGCTTCGCAAATGGCACCAGTGTCCTCTACATCCACATTCATGGACTGCAACGTCCTCTTCCGCCTTGCACGAATGGCCGCTCTCATCCTCCCCTCCCTCCTCTGCAATTGACACCGAAAGAGGATGGCGTTCACGGCCGCTGCCACCGCCGTCCTCTCCGCCTTGCTCAGTGCGTCACGGCCTGCCTTCCCGTTCATGTCCATCACCGAAACTGGTACTGTCAACGTGGGCGTCGCCAAGTACCGAAGACTCCATGTGTGCCGGGGCGCACAACAGCGATGCTGCGAGTGACGACCGGAGTGCACGGCGTACACATCGACGACGAAGGTGCGCCTGCGAAGACGACAACGATGGCGATCGTGTGACGGCGTGTCTGCTGCTTTGGACGTGTACACGTACATTCGGCGTGCCCGCCGACACGCAGCCGCCACCCCGTTCCCAAACGCTTCCGCCAAGGAACATTGCTGCCATCAGCCGCAAGGGACGCCCACGCCGCCGTCACTCGCTCGCAAAAATTCGAATTTCGAATTTCGAATCCGGAACTGCACACCTTTTTCGTGTCCATTTTTTTTTTCACTGCCAACTTTCAAATTCGTGACGCCCACCCGAGCTGGACCAACGACGTCGGCACGGACACACCTTGCTGGACCAACCTCGCCCCGCCCCCACACATCCGCTTGTCGATATATGAAACCGGCCGTGGAAGGCCCCAAGGAATCATCCTCGGGGAACAATTCCGAGGATGAGTGGAACGACGGCGCAAATTTCCTCGGGCGACGGTGGGAGAACTTCCTCGGGCCCCGAGGACGGCCCAAGAGTGTCGAACGAGCCCCTTAATCTTTTAAATTGCGAAGGTGATATGTCAACAGGCACTCGTTTGCATGACGGAAGACCCCTGATGATTCCGGATCCGGCTCCGAACGAAACATGTCGGGTCGTCGCCGGAATAGCTCGACCAAGAACGTCAACGTTACAGGCATGACGCCTATTTTCGTGTGGGGCAGGATGGCTACTATTCTTATTTTTCAATGGTATATCATGTCACGTTCGGGAGACTTTTGACGTGTCATCCTCTTATCTTTTCTGCCGTTCCTTCGTTCTTTCCCTTCCTCCTCCCTCCCAGTTGTCTACTTCCTTTCTGTACCTTCCATCTGTCAAGGGTCTCTGTTGTGTCATTCTGAGCGTATGTGACTTTCGCCCGTTAGGCCGGCGGCTGTTGTGTATTGGTGCTTCGTGACATGTTTTGATGCTGTGCTAACTTGGTCACCGTGCTTCGTCATGCTTCGTCCAGACTTCTAGTTCCTAGGTCCGCTAATGCAAAACAAGACGAGCAATGATTGTTCTACACCTAGCATCGATAAAACACCCCTGGGGAATACTGGGTGGCCGCCAGCCAAAACCGCTAGGGTCATGCGCCGTATCTGCTGCGAGTTATTGGTTACATTCCTTTACAGCAAGTCGCATTTGGGATGCTATTATTTAATCTTGTTCAGTCAACTCTTCTTCTTCTCATGCATCGTCATCTTCTTCCTCATCCTTTTCCTCTCTCCTCTCCTCTCCTCTCCTTCCTCTTCATCATGTCCAACTTGTATGGTCTCTTTCACATGTGTATGAATTGATAACAACAACATGCTGGTGGATCTTCAGAGGTGTAAACACAAATCAGGGAATAATGATAGCAAATTTTGAAGGGTTCGGGGGGACTACCCCAGGCTGGTCAAGAAGAATCCTGCGACAATCAAATTGGTTTTCGTTTCAACTTTACAGAAGTATGCAGTAAATGAGGAAAGAGTAGTTTCGAGGTCACTCTGCAACAAAGTTTGTGAAAGCCCAAAATGGGGGTAGTTGAGGCCAATCCATTCTGATGCAGTGCGGGGTTAGGGTTGGGACAGGGGGGGGGGGAGGGCGCCCCTGATAGGCAAGGATGGTATAGGAGTGCACAGGCAATCAATGTATAAGGAGAATGCTGGGAGACTAGATGTGCGATTGCAGAAAGAGCTTGACATACATGGGGAACGCTGGCAGACTGGGAGACTGGGAGTCGGATTGTGGAAAGGGCGATGACTTGATGTGGAATCACCATAAGGTGATGATTGCATGGATATAATTAGCAAATGGATGGGAGGATTAGGACCCCGGTATTGGGGAGGGGGCATATACGGGCCGAGGAAGGCCTAGGTAAATCTGTCCGTGTTTGGATGTAATGGTGTTTAGGTGGTTTGTTCGAACTAGAGGTGGCTAATGGCCTGCAATTTAGGTTCAGTTCTGTGAAACGACACTGCCCGCTCCGGAACACTCAGTATGTGCATCTGGGTACTGTATGGACTTTTCCCGGCCACTATGCGAGCCCTGGTTAGGGATACAACATTGTACTTTCTGATTTTTCTTCTCTTCGTGAATAGTGGAGCAAAGCCCAGGTGATCGGTGGAGTGAGTCGGGTCGTACCCCTCCTGGTGTCGAAATTCCACTTTCTTGGCTGGCAGACAGGGCGGTGCTGAGAGAGAGAGAGAGAGAGAGAGAGAGAGAGAGAGAGAGAGAGAGAGCAGGCGCTAACCTAAAACAACAACAGAAAAAGTAACGGTCTATTAAATACAACCGTTATCTCTTCATGAAATTCAAATAGAAATCATATAGTTTTATACGAATAGAAAGCATATGGGGGCTGAACATTGCTCTATGCGAACATCCTTCAGAGGGGAAAGGGTCCTTGGACCATTGCTCTATGTGTTATGTTCGCCGGAACTTTCCAAACAACGCCTTTTTTAAACCTCAAATACAACGCATATGCGTTACGTTCAGGGGAACACGGTAGTCCTCCCTGCAAAGCTTCGGGTGCGACAGATATACTATGCTGGACCTTTTTCATCTGTTGCTTCCTCTCGTCCTCTAGTCTGCACATTACTCCATACTTGCCGGTGATTAGCAACCGGACAGTTGCCCCCCCGAATAGATGAGCCTTGTGTAGGAAAAAAGAAGGGAAGATATACTCCAAGACAAGACATCCTCAAAACTGAGCCTCTTGTTCATTCCACCATCATAACAAATACCTGGTTCAGAACTGATCCAGGAATGAAGCGAAATCCCAAGCCCACTGGGAGACCAGTAACCTCTGCAGAAGGCAGAAATTTTTCGCATATATATTGCAGCTGGTCAATTGCTCAATGTGCAACAGCACTCGCGAAGCGATAGGTTCCATAACTCAAAGTAATCAGGAGCGATCTGCTCCACTTCAGGAAGAAACTCTGGAACATGGTTCTTCCCAAACTTTCCGTGTCAGTCAGCGGGTCTACAGTCACATGGGGCTTTTCACAATGAAAGCCACGAAATACAACGCAACCTACAAATTACAACAAAGTTGACACTTCCCCGCTCCTCACTGAAAACCCCTCCTCCGTACAAGGCCGTGAGAAATATACAGTGCTGGAATCACAATGTGGCCATAGCTTCTGTACCTGCATATTTGTCTCTTTGTTCATCCACCTCCTCTCTCTCTCTCTCTCTCTCTCTCTCTCTCTCTCATGCACGTGCACCGTCATTTCAGCTAACAGTCTTTTCTTTCTAACTAGTTCAAGATTTCTATTTATTTGAAGGTTGCAAGGCAAACTAAATTTAATTTATTGCAATGTTATTGGCAGTCGCAATATCACGGGAGGCATATGAAAGATGGCTTGCTACATTGACAGTAGCCATGATTTAGCACCTCCGTCCTTGTGTCACATTCATGTAACGCATGCAATACCCTGCAGGCATTATCCGTCCAAACGTAGAAACGAGCCGTGCCGACGTTAATGGATCGAAACCATAGCACACCAAAGTAGGAACGTATTATTTTCTAGGTTGAAGACAGCAGCCTTCGTCGTATTGTGGCTGTGTTGATTCCAGACTGAATCCTGCAACCACAACAAGCAGTATTCACCCGCACGATCGCATAAATTAGTTCAAGTATTCGCAATCAGCTGACAGGCACAATCACATAAATTAGTTAAGTATTGCCAAAATCAGATGACAGGCAGGGTAGGTGGCGTTGATCAGTTGAATCGTCCTGATTCCGTCAACTGACCCTGAGTCTTGCTGCTTTGGATGCAAGGAAGGCACAACCTTGTTATCATAGTAGTTCCTTTCGGTTTCGGAAAAAATGGAATGCTAGCGGCTTCGCTCCTTTGTGGTAAAAAATCTCCAAACACACTCCAGTCCCGCAAGTCCTTTGTAGCCCAGCTCACATTCAGTCTTATTAAAGCCACAATACGGTCTATAGTACTCTAATACACCAGTGAATAGCACTGGTTGGCATTGAACTAATCAAATGTCAAATTTCGCTTCTCTACACTCAAAAAAAGCATGACTGTGCTATTACTGTTTCGTCAGACTTTCACCAGGTCATAAGGAGGTTGAACCCCGACAGTCTGCCCTGGTCGCATTTCACTGATGGAGACGGACTCACCACATCGCCCAGAGTTAGCGATACCCCTGAGAAAAAAGGTCGACTTCACTCACACAAACCTTGCAATCCTAGCAGACTTGTCAAGGGTCCAAACCCCTGACAAGAACGGCAGAAAGTCTCAGAAACTAATCTGACGCGGTCATAAAACCCACTCTACACACCCACTGAGCCATGAACACCCAATGGCATGACTGCTAGCACGCTGTGTGTATGGGGGCCGTAGGGGGGCAGGGGGGGCGGAGGTGAGGGGGTGTAAAGGGGTTGTCGTTGTGACATTCTGTGCGAGTGTGTAACTCTGTGTGGGTGTGCGCATGTGTGCGGGGGGGGCAGGGGAGAGGAAAGTCAAACTTAGGGTCTCTGAGGTCAAAAGAACCCCCCCCAGCAAAGATTGCCTCCCTGATGAGGGATTTACAGTTGAGCGTCCCAATACAAAAGATAACTCCCAGAGTACAATAATAATGAGCGCACCAAACATGGTTTCATAAAGGGGAAGACTATTAGCAGGGTTGATGGGCATATTACCTGTACAAAACTTCCCCTGTCATCGCTGTCTTTGAGCTGATCCAGTCCGATGCATAATCGAGTAGGTACTCCAGTTGCAAATCTATCTCATCTGCAGGCGGTCACATTGGAGGAAAAACACAGTCGCCCATTTGTTCACACCAACGATGCCAGTGAGCATATGGGACAAAACGTAGCGGACAAAAGCACGATATGCAGCCATGCCAACGCAGCGGCAAGAGCAATATCAGAAAATACTGATATATGCAATATGACCAAAGTGGGAAGGAAGGAAAAACAGCCATATAACCAAAATTGTCAAAACAAGACAGTGCACTGTGCATTCCTCCAACCAGGCAATCCACCAACAGGAAGACATTGCAGCAAAGCAAAACCAGATTCTACAACGCCACTACTGCTAAGCAATACATCCCAAATTCGTGGGAACAACGGCCAAGGGTTTAGGGCTTGGAATTTTCTGATTCAATTTCAAGTCTTGGGTTTAAACCTCTGCTGATCAGACTTGAGGGTTTAGGGTTTAGGGTTTAAGACTGTTTAAGGTTTCTCGAAGGTCAGGGTACGCAAGAAAGAAATGGAATCATAGCTTATTATAGAGGTTAATCAGAGTTCCACGGTCAAGGGTTTAGGGTTTAAGACACACGCAATGCATATTTTCCCTGTCCTCATATTTTGGGGTGCTCCCCGTCCTCAAATTTTCATCTCAAGCGATGAACTTCTCTCAAAACAGCAAAACACTCATCGAACGGGACCTCTGTTTAAAGGAGGAAGTAATACGAGATGAACAGATGTTAGGCATTCTATTACGTGCAGGCTGCAATTCTCCCATATCCTCAAGTCCTCGGGAAGGGTGGACATGTTAGCTCATTGATTGATCTAAATAGAGGGAAGAGGGCCTCAGGGGCGATGAGAATCTTTTGCAAACATTTTACCTTTGCTTGTCAACTTGCAGTGGCACTTGCAT